CAACGATGATCAATGATTTAAAGATGAAACTAACAATACTCTCTGATGAAAATAATGTTACCCCAATTACAATGAAGAGGGAGATAAATTTTAACTTTGGAGTAAAGAAATTGAGGTGATCTAACTATTTAGCTTGACAAATTGTTCAATATTAATCACCAGAGAATCAAAAATATCATTTTTCCACAAAGCTCAACTGTCAAAGATAGTATAAAATTGATAGAAGTTGTGTATAGAGTTAGGGGTATATGTGTAAATGTAATGTAGTGAAAAGATATATAAGGTATAATATTATTTTATTATTTTATTGAATAAACTATAGTAGAAATTTTTATCACGTGGTATCAAAGCACCGGTCTTAGGGTTTTGTTCTGGTGGCTGACTGCACTATTCACGACGCACTGTTCATGGGACACTGTTCACGATTGTTACTTTTTTCCAACGACTAAGTCTGTCGCATCTCCTATTTTCCGATCGTGGTTTCTGATTGATGATCTATTTCTATTTTTCTACAGTTTCCAGTTATTGTGTTTTTTTTTTTTTTTAATGTTTATTTTATGATTGTTCTGGTTGTGGTGTTTGATTTGAGTTGTGAATTGATGATTTGGGTTTTCTTGATATTGGTGATTAGAGGTGATCTTGTCTATAAGCTTAGTAGAGAATTCATTGTTGGTTTGATTAAGCTATGGCAATGGAAGGTAAACAGGTGGTGACTGAAATTTCAGTCCACTCATCTGCAAAGATTACTGATAGGAAGTTACTGGGAAAGCAGAATTATGCTCAATGGAGACAAACTATTAGGATATATGTTTCTAGCATTGACATGGGGGATCATTTGACTAAGGATCCACCTACGAATTCACTTCCACAAACAGAGAGTTATAAGCAACCAGAGGGTAGTGATGAGATATTAGAGTGTTAGGAGAATTTGGAAGAAATGACTCATGGAGGATGATAAATTGTTTAATCAGATCCAGAATACTCTGAATTCCACAATGGATGATGTTACCAATCATTGTGATACAGTTAAAGAGCTATGGGAGTATCTATAGTTTTTGTATGCTAGTAAACATGACTTGTCTCATGTTCATGAGCTGTTATTGCAGATTTATCTAGCAAATATGCAAGAGAAGACATTACTTGAATACTATATAGAGGTGAAGCTAGCCTTTCAGGAAAAACGAGTTATATTCCCAATGACTGCAGATGTTGTGCGAATGAAAGAATAAGAAGTGCAAGTGGTGGTGTAGTGTTTTCTGGCTAGGTTGAGACTAGAATATGAGATAGTTCGAACACAACTCCTTACCAGTGACAAGCGTCCTTCTCTAACAGAGGTTTATGCTCGTCTTCTTCTGGTTAGTAAAAGGGAGGATAGAGGAGCACCTAAAGACAGTGAGACTCTTCAGAATGTTGTTCTAGATCATACGGCTCTTGCTAGCATAAAGTCTAATAGTGGTAGAGGCAACAAAGTTGCTAGTTGGGATACTCGTGGAAATGATAATGGTCCTCGTATTTGCTTCCATTGTGGTGTTGAAGGTCATGTCAAAACGAATTGTTGGAAGTTTCATGGAAAGCCTCCAACTATATTAAGCAATCAAAAATATGCTTATGTTGCCGTTCAAGATGGTATTTTACCTACACCTTCACAAGTTACTATATATACAAATGAGTATGCTCGCCTCACTTAGCTTACTATACCCCAGTCATCCCTTTTGTCAACTACTACTACATTAACTCAGCTAGGTAATCAGACAGCTTGTGTATTTACTTCTAGTCATAACTGGGTCATTGATTCTGGTGCTATGAATCATATGACAGGTGATATAGACATTCTCTCCTCATTTACCCCTTCTTCTGATTTGTCTTCTGTTACTTTAGCTAATGGGTCTACTACACCGATTACCAAATCTATGTCTCTCTCCTCTGTTGTGTGTCTTCTTCACTTCCCCTTTGATCTTTTATCTGTTAATTAAATCACTACTACGTTTAATTGTGGTGTTTATTTTTTCCCTACTCATTATATCTTTCAAGATCTTAGGACGACACAAATTATTGGTAAGGGTCGTGTCTCAAGTGACTTGTACATGCTTAATGACATCTCCACTCCAATGCCACCACATGTTGCATGTACCAATGATTTGTCCTCCTCTCTCTTCCATGGTTGTTTTGGTCATCCCCCTCTTCCAATCCTAAAGAAGTTATGTCCTAATTTACAGTCAATGTCACAACTTAATTGTAAAGCTTGTTAATTTAGGAAATATCATCGAGTGTATTTTAGTCCTAGAAAAAATAAACGAGTTATTGCTTCTTTTGATGTTATACGGTCTGACATTTGGGGTCCTTGTCCTGTTTTATCTAAATCTAGTTATAAATATTTTGTTACTTTTTGTGGATGATGTTTCATGTGTTATGTGACTATATTTTATGAAAAATCATTCTAAATTATTCTTTATATTTTTTGTCTTTTATGTTGAGATAAAAAACCAATTTGCTTCATCTATCAAAATTTTGCGAAATGATAATGCCAAAGAATATTTTTATGCTTCTCTCTCTTTTTTTTTGTCCACCAGGGGTATTATTCATCAGTCATCTTATGTGTATATGCCTCAGCAAAATGGAGTTGCTGAATGAAAAAATCGTCATTTGTTAGAGGTCGCTCGTGTTTTGGGCAGATGTTTCTACTGCCCATTACTTAATTAATCGTATGCCTTTATCTATTCTGTCTGGCCAAATAAATTACTCCATTCTTTTTCCTTTTCAACCTTTGTTCCCTCTCGCTCCCAAAATCTTTGGGTGTACTTGCTTTATTCAAGACGTTCGCCCTCATCTTTCCAAATTAGACCCTAGATCCCTCAAGCATATATTCTTGGGTTACCCATGGTAACAAAAGGGCTATCGTTGTTTTTCTCCTACTTTGGGTAAGAATATTATCTTGGCTGATGTGTCATTCTTCGAAACTACTCCGTATGTTAACGATTTCATTCTATCTTCTTCTCTGGTCACTGATGATTTTCTTATTTATACCATTACTCACTATAGTTCTCCACCCCTGCTCATCCTCCTGTCACTCAGATATATTCTCGACGCCTTCCACCACAGCAAGTGGCACCAGCACTAGCACCAGTATCAACATCTAAGACACTTGAGACTTGCCCCTATTGCCTGCCTCGCCCCCGGATCCGAATCCTCTTCCTTTTGACCTAGATCTTCCCATTGCTTTACATAAAGGTAAGCGCTCTTGTACGTATCCTATTTCCTCTTTTGTTTCTTATAACTCATTGTCTCTATCTTCTGAGTCATTTGTTGCCTCTTTAGATTCTGTGTCTGTTCCTTGTTCAGTGTCTGAAGCAGTTGCTCATGATGGATGGCGAAGACCTATGGAAGAAGAGATGTTGGCTCTTGAGCATATAATAGTACATGGGATCTTGTTGATTTACCTAGTGACAAAAATGCCATTTGGTGTAAGTGGGTTTTCACGATGAAGGTTAATCTTGATGCATATGTGGCTCGATTGAAAGCTTGGTTGGTTGCTAAAGGTTATGCTCAGACATATGGTATTAATTATTTAGAGACATTTTCTCCTATTGCTAAGATGACCTCTGTTTGGTTATTTATTTCTCTTGTAGCTTCCTATTGTTGGCCCCTTCACCAACTTGATGTCAATAATGAATTTCTTTATGGTGATCTTCTTAAGGAGGTTTATATGGAGCAACCACCAGGGTTTGTTGCTTAAGGGGAGTCTAGAAAGATATGCAAACTGAGGAAGTCTTTATATGGTTTGAAACAATCTCCAAGTGCTTGGTTTGAGAGATTTAGTGATATAGTGACTAAATTTGGTTTGCATAGAATTGTTTATGATCATTCTGTCTTTTATAGACAATCTAGTTTTGGTATTCTCTTCCTTGATGTTTATGTTGATGACATTGTAATCATTGGTAGTGATAGTGTTGGTATTCATAACTTGAAAAAAAAAATTTGGCTTCCAAATTTCTCATGAAAGACTTAGGCTCTTTAAAGTATTTTTTGGGAGTTGAAGTTTCTCGAAGTAGGAGAGGGGTTGTCTTGTCTCAACACAAGTATGTGTTAGATTTGTTGGCTAAAACAGGTCTAATTGGAGCCAAGCCTTATGATACTCCTATGGTTCCTAACGTAAAATTGAATGATGAGAATGGAGAGGTGTTTGATGATCCAGAGCGATACAGACGAATAGTTGGGAAGTTGAATTATCTTACAGTAACTAGTCCAGATATTGCTTTCTCAGTGAGTGTGGTAAGTCAGTTTATGTCATCTCTTAGGATACCTCATTGGGATGCGATTCTTCATATTTTGAAATATCTCAAAGGGGCTCCTAGATGTGAGATCCTTTATAATAATCATGACCACAATATAGTAAAAGGATTTTCAGATGCAGATTAAGCAAGATCATCTATAGACAGGCATTCTGTGACTGGATTTTGTATTTTTGTTGGAGGAAATCTTATTTCTTGGAAAAGTAGGAAACAACCTATTGTAGCTAGATCAAGTACAGAATCTGAGTACCGAGCTATGGCATAAGTAACTTGTGAGCTTATATGGACAAGATATCTCCTTAGATAAGTCGGAATTAGTGATCCAAGGATTATGGACTTGTGGTGTGATAACCAAGAAGCCATACATATAGCCAACAATCTAGTTTCTCATGAACGGACAAAGCATATAGAAGTCGATTGTCATTTTATGCGAGAGTAACTTGAACAGAAATTAATTTCCACTAAGCATGTTAGAACAAGGGAACAATTAGCTAATTTCTTTACTAAATCTCTAGTTGGAAAAATGGTAACTTATATTAGTAATAAGCTGGGCATGATGGATATATATGCTCCAGCTTGAGGAGGAGTGACAGAAGTTATGTGTATAAAGTTAGGGGTATATGCGTGAATATAAGTGAAAATATATATAAGGTGTAATATTATTTCATTATTTTATTGAATAAACTACAGTAGAATATTTTATTACAAAAACAAACCTAATAAGGGTGAGTGCAACTGTGATACACTAATACGAGTTGTATCAAACTTTGATAACTCAATTTCCTAAGATTGGTAGAGTTTTATCAAACTTTTATAACACAATTTTCTGTAAGTTTGGTAAAGCAAGTTCAGCTATTTCCTTCATAGAGACGCCCAAACTCATTCCAACACGAACTAAAGTCTCAAGTGATCTACCACTGTTTGCTAGGAGGTCCTCATCTATCTTTATTGCATCCTGCATTACACTCAATGGTTAAGCTAAATAGCTCATAAGTGACAACAAAACTCATTAACAATTGCAAATTTCAGTAGAAATGATAGCATACATTACACCAGAAAATGGTTTTCCTAGTGCATACAAGTCACAAAACTAACGTACACACCCAAAAATGATTATCATATTTGATGGGAAAATAGATTCAAGCATTTAAAGTGTACATAAAAGAAAATGGTTAATTATATTTTAGCATGTTTTACAAATGCCTCTCTGCCTCCTGAAACTGAAGTTTTAATTTAGAATAAGAAATATTATAGAACTGAGAACAATTTATGAAGTACTAAGTATGTATCTCCAAAATGAGAATAGAAGAAAACCTATACAAGTCATACTTCTACACCAACCAACTGTATGTTTAATACCAACCTTTTCAAAGACGCAAATTACTGTACTTCCACCAAAAGAGAAATATCCAAACTGAAAGTTGAATGAATCAAACACCTGATTAGAACCAAAGACAAACTAGAGACAAGCAATGATTACAACATCAAAATATGAACTTCTAACCTCATCTCCTTTCTTGACAAAATCACCTTCCTTTTTCAAAAAAGTGATACTACCAACCATGGTTGCTCCAATTGCAATGAAAGCTACCTGCAGCCAAACGTCAAGGATGAAAAAGAAATTACAAATAAATTGATCATGTTTCTATTAACTGTAACAAAGGAATATCTAAAAAGGTTAAACATAGGTAATTGATACAAAGGACAGCTACTTGATTTTCATAGAAAAAGTAGTGCAAAACATGAGAAATAGTTATCCCTTCGAATCTAGGAAGAAAATTGTTATCATGTGCACACAGCATTAATGGGTATCCAAGAGAAAAGTCTAGGGCGTCAAGGCGGTTGAGACAACAGGATCCTTTATCTCCTTTTTCATTTGTTTTAGTGGTTGACGGCTTAAGTAGAATGATTGATAGAGCTTTGGAAGTTAATCTGTTTTGAGGGTATTTCAGTTTGGAGGGATCAAGTTAGGGTGTCACATTTCCAACTTGCAGATGACACCAGATGACTTGCTGTTCTAAAATAGAAGTCTTCTTATGTTTATATCATTAGAAGTAGAAGACTCCTAGTTACTCAAATGTGAATACATTTCCAATTCATAAAACTATTGACTTTACAATCATCAAAAGTTGAAGTATTTATCTCTCTAGTAATGGTTGTTAATATTGATGGGAACTGAGAAGGGAAATTATTGAAGTTAGTTGATTATTGATGTAGTTGATGCGTTATCTCTTGCTAATTGTTTTAAAGATTGTGGTACAGGCACACAGGACTTACTTTTTTACTGTATTGCTTTGGTTATGCCTCTCTAAAGGTATGGTCATATCTACATCCTTCAAATCAGATTTGTCTAAGTGTCTCACTACAAGTCAGAGATATTTTTCACGGTAATAAAAACGGGGTTAAAAGGTCAGCATATGGTGATTGAGAGAGGTAAAGATATTTTTAGAATTGTTAATGATAGCAAAATCCTCAAACAAGTAACCTTCAAGACGTGGACATAGGCTGGTTGGTGAACATACAATGATATATTATTTGTGTTTGCTTTCTTGGTCCCTCACTCATCTATTTGTAGTTGTTTATTTTGCAATTTCACACTCACTTTACCATAAACTTGATTTAATTTGCAAAAATTAGTGAAATTGACATAAATAGCATCCTCACTCAATACAAGCATCTCGTGGGTTAGTTTAGCATCTAAAACATGAAGACTATGGGTTTTTCTCCATACTTGTAATGGTTGTGTTCAGTTTGTAAGAATGAACAAGTAAATCAATAAATAATGCAAGTATTACATAAATAACAATCAATGGCATGGATATTAAGGAAAAACTTAGGTCGAAAGGAAAAAAGCCTATGTTTTACCCCTTTGACGACAAACTTTAATGAAGGACATTCAAAACATCATACTGTACCCATGCAATAACTGGCATTATTGATAATTTTACATTTGGGGAGAGGTTTAGAGGAAAATGGACATCTATTATTTCACAAAATGTTTGTGTTCATATATAATTATACCAAATCACTAATGATAGTAAAGCGGGAAATTTAATTATAATACATACTTTCCACTGCAACTCTTACACATGGAAATATGCATTTAAGCTGCTTAAAGACAAAGAAAGGAACTGGCTAAAAAAAGGTTATGTGCCAATGCCTTAGTCTTGCATGCAGTAAAAGCCTTATATCACCAATTATTTTGAAGACAAGCATCTAAATAATCTAAAAAGAGGAAAAAAAAAATCATATAAAAAAATGTCAAATGAGGTTAATGACAAACCTTTCCAAAATGTTTAGTAGAAATGATTGACACAACTCGCTTGTTCTCCGTGAAAACATTACAATACTTGCTATTAACAGCAATGGGATTAACCTAGGCAATAAAAGATGCAGAGATTAAGATAGCATCTCAATATAAATATAAAGAAGCAGATCCAAGGTATATTTTCAATTAAATAAGAAAATATTGTTATTGTTATTTTTGTTAATTTATTACTACTTAAAATATAAGGGTAGTTATGGAATATAAAGTTTTAAACAACCATTAAGACCTTTATATTCAAGTCAAAATTTTAAACTTTATAGATTAAAACATGGATATCCTAAAACAAGTATCAAGTTGGAGAGAAAAAGGGTCTTAAATGTTAAGAAGATTGAGTTTTTGAGTGGAAAAAACAAACATGGCTTTAGTGACATACCGTGTACAGGCATCCAGGTATATCAACTATTCGTTCAATGATTCCAGAGACTGGAAAATGGAAACGATGATAATCCTAGCACAAAAAAGATAGTAAAGTTAGTCTCTGACATTTGAATCAAATCATATTCAATAATAATATGATACAAATTCCTCAAGGGAACTTATACTGTATACCTGTGGTGCCAACCGAAATATCACCAAACTTCCATCAACAAAAGCATCAGAAACAATTTCTTTCCCCAAGAGGCCTTGAATTGAAAATTTTCGACCCTTGAGAAACCAACAACAATCCCCAAAAGAAAAAAAGAAGTATTATTATTACTTTGCATCTGAAACATATAGTGGAAAGTGAGAAAAAGTAAATCTATGATTCAGATGAGTTATGCTCCACTGATCTCTCACGATTTTGGATAACTTTGCTAATCACTAACATTGTTATTCTAAGTCTCTGCCGTAAAGTCAGAACTAAGTTGATTTCATGTTAAATTTGACCCTAAAGCTGACCTTTTTTTTTTTTTTTTTTTTTTTTTCAAAGCATAAAAATACCATTTATTGTAATAATTACAAAAGAGTGAACAAGATGTCCACAAAAGTTAAAGATCCATTTGACAGATCACAAAACTATTTACAGTAAAAAATGGCTCCAATAACAGAACTATGAAAACTCAAAATGTGTAAACCAATGCACTAGTGTGCCATTAACCCAAAATTGCTTCCCAATCTAAGAATGAAGAGAAAAGAAGTATCTTGGAAAACTTTAGACACTGATCTGATGCCCTAAAAAGAAAGTAAACGACTTCCGTCAAAATATATAATTAGTCTCAACCAGAAAAAATTTCAAACAATTCTCAGAATACTGTACAATTTAGACATTTTACTTATATTCTCACTATAAAAGCATTAGTAATTCCAAATTCATTACCCACTTCCCCATGCAACTACAGTACATAAACCTTGAAATTATAAAAATAGATGAAAAATAAATGACATGATAGGAGCACACATTGGTGCACGCCGTGGTTCTAGTTATCACTAATGATTAACAAATCATGAATAGCAAAGATAACAACAATATATTACTTTTGGGAGATGAAAAAATAAACCGCAGAAGCCTAGAAGATCAAATAGCCACAATTTTATTACACAAACTATATATACAAAAATATTCTACAAATAAGGCAAATAACAAATGATCTTGTAGCCCTCAGTAAAGATTGATGCTGACAATTGTCCGCAAAAACTGAAGCCCATGACGACAACTGCAACCATTCATTCAGTCTGTCTCATGTGCAACATCAAAATAGTTCGTTCTTTATAACTTACTACAAAAGCAATTGAAAGAGCTCATATGATCTTCACAAGGGCATCATTCCCAAAGACTATTAAATTACATCTTCTCTGTGAAATTGTTGAGTCAAATTCAATCCAATTTGTATTGGATTAGGACGTGGGTTTTCCTAATATATGTTTATATAGAATTTTTTCTTTTAAAAATACAATTAGGAAAGGAATATAATTGTATTAGGAATTAAAATAAAATTTCTATTGAGATATAGATTTGAGTCTTATTAGGAATAGTGGTCTCAGTATTACCTATAAAATTGGTTAAGTTTGAATGTTAGATATCACAAATTGAACAGAAGGTAAAACCACAATTAAAGAGTGAGAGTCACCAAAGAGGGTTTAGTGAATAAGCCAATTTGTGAGGCTTGAGAGATTTTTGTATTTTTCTTCTTCTTCATAGTGAAATTCCACAACGGCAAAGTGAACGTAACCTTCATACGGAGAGTGAACCATATAAATCTGTTGTGTTTGTTGTGATTATTATTATTATTATTATTATATTATTGTCCTTTGTTCGCATTATTTAGCTTTTAGGATTTAGATTTGTTAGTATCTAATTAAATCCCCACAACATTCTCCATTTCTAAGAACTTGCTCTATCAGATTAACAATCATCACATGTTTACAGAATGAAGAAGAGAAATAAATTTATAGGTGATGGGATGTCATTAATAGATGTATGGATGATGTGGTATCTTGTCTAACTCAAGACTTTTCCACTGCCACAAATCATGTAAAGACTCTAATCAGAATTAGGAGGGACTCAAAAAGAACTTAGAATGGCTACAGTGCAAATCGATCAGGTAGTCTATATGTTGTCGCAAAATCACTTATAATCAGTGATACATGAGTTAAGTTAGATAAAATATAATTGAATATTGTGCACCATACAAGTTTGAAAGAAAAAGCGATTTTCTTCTTACAGATACTTAAAGTAAAGTGGTATACCTTGATCCAAACTCGTAAACTATCTTCTGCTGATTTAAAAGCCATTAGACGACTATCAGCTGCGCATACAGCAACCTTCATCTTTCCAGAGAGGCAATTGGTCTTGCACCTAGCTTTAACTCTCTTATGAAGAAATCATTAAATGTCTGTACACAGAGGAAGTACAAAATGCATTTGTTATGAGCTGTCACATACCAAGAACTCGTCTAAATTCTAGTGATGTAAGAAAATATTGCCATTAAAAATCCCACATTAGTAAACAAAGAAATAGAAAATTGCAAGTTACTTGTCCAGTATGACTGTGTTCAGTTAAGATTAAACTTATCATACTTAAGGCCAATCTCAAGTTGTTTGGTAAATGAATTGAACCAAGAAAATCTTTTTATCAAACAGAGATGATTAAGTTTGACTCATTTGCATCCTTAGTAATACATGATACAGAAAAACCACACTTTTCAATGGTGAAGAGTGTAATAAGTAATGGATATCAACCGAAAAGCAGTTGACTCGCCAACAAAAAGAACTATAGAGTGAAAATTCAAACAAGAATGACAACTAAAGTTGTTATGGCAAGAGCTAACTCAAGATATCTAAAACTGAGGCTGGGCCTGTGGTTTAAATGATTTGCAAGAAAAATACAAAAATCAATGTTTATTTAAATGGTGGTGTGGGTCAGAAGAAAACACATTACAGTGGTAACTCCCTTAAGAGATATTAGAAGAATAATTGTTAAGGAGATGAAGAAAGGCATGGCAGTTTCTCTCCTACAGTGATGCCCAGGGCTTAAAAGTTTCAACTTATTGTTCAGCCCACAGAAATATGATTATACCTTTACCTGCTAAAAAAGCTATTTTATAAATCCATTCTTCGATTAACCTAACCATGACCATAAACGAAATCAAAACAAAATTGAAGGGTACAAGGCCCTGACTTATTCACCACTGGCAAATGACTATGATAACCTTCTACAACAGTTTAAGATTTTATCTATTGATGAGCCCAAAATATCCCTGGTACTCACGCAAGACAGCAAGGGGAAGCAAGGGCAAAAGGGGTAAATCACCCCGAGGACAGGTGTCTTTTTAGTTGTTAGGATCCGGTGTCAGAATAAGGGGTAGGGTTACCACAGAGAGGGATATCTTTGTTTTTGTGCACTGAATTGAATCTGGGAGGTGCTGCCCTCAAGACCAGCTGGAGCTACTGTTTATTGTTATTTCTTAAAACTCATTGTTTTCTTATTTCTCATTTGATTAATATACCATTTCTCACTATTTTGATCTATTGTGTGGGGTTACTGCTGAGTATTGTGTTATTACGTTGTGGTGATTATTACTGTCATGAGTTGGGTTGTTGTGTGTGAGCTGTGAGTAGAGTTGATAGTTTGGTTTTCATCAAACTATTTTCTGGGTTTCATCAAACTGGTATCAGAGCACACGGTGCTGGGTTTGTTTGGTACTAGAATGGGAGGCAGGATTGAAGGTGTTGAAAAGAGTTAATGATGGTTCAGAGGGAGGTATCCAAGGGACAGAAACTGTGAATTCGATGAGAGAAAGTTCTGATGGACATGCAAAATGGATGAGAAGAAAAGATGAAGAGATGAAGACGACGGAGAACTCATCTGAAGAAATTACCGAGACAGGGGGGCCCGTACTGAACAAGAACCTCGCGGAGGACAGGGAGGCCAAACGGAGGGTAATGACGGGGAAGGATCGAACCAAGGCAGGGAAGGGTGGGGCCGCCGAGACTGATGTGGCCGGAAACTGGAACTACCTCTTTTTTTCGGTGGGGAGCCTTACGGGTGGAACGTTACTTCACGATAAATCAGATCCACAACGAACACAAGGTTTCGTCAACAGCCCTGTGCATGGAAGGAGAAGCACTCAACTGGTACCAGTGGACAGATTCACGAACGGTGGCGATGACTTGGCCAACCTTTAAAGTGGCGTTGCTGCAGCGTTTTAGCAGAGCGCAGGAGGTCAGTCCATTGGAGATGCTGATGTTGTTACGTCAGAAAGGAACAGTGCTGGAGTTTTGCCAAAGATTCGAAGAAGTTGCAGCATTAACTCACGGCGAGAGAGAAGAGATACTGACGGCAGCATACCTCAACGAGTTGAAACCAGAGATTCGGGCTGAGATAAAGTTACAGCAACTGGATCTTCTGACCCGACCCGATTCCCTGACCCAGGTTACATTATTGGCCCAACGCATGGAAGAGAGAAACTGGGCCTTAGTAGAAGCCCAAGCAGGCCTGGCCCAAACAGGAAAATATGGCCACATCAATTATTTACCCAAGCCCAATTCCCACTTACCCAAACCCAATTCTAACTCACTTAAGGCTGACGAAAATGGGAAATCTCAAAATTCAAATTCATTTTATTCATCACCCAGATCTGCCAACCAAACCCACGTGTTTTCCCAAACCTCAACCATCAACCGAAAACTTCCATCTGAGATCTACGCCAACTCTGGGTCAACGTCTTCAAACAACAGTAGAACCAACACCTTCCGGCGAGATTTTCCATTCAAAAAGTTGACTGAAACTGAGATACAAAGGAAGAGAGAACGGGGCTTGTGCTACCGATGTGATGCAAGGTATTCTCCAGGGCATAGATGTGGAGAGAAGCAGTTCCAGGTACTACTTGTTGATGAAGAGGAAAATAAAGAAGAGGAAACAACTAATGACGAAGAAATGGTGGAAGAATAAGTTCCCAAGGAAGATGAGTTATCAATTAGTTCAGTGGTTGGAATTCATGGACCTAAAACGATGAAGTTGAGTGGAGAAATTAAAGGTAGGGAGGTTATAATTTTAATTGACAGCGGGGCATCGCATAACTTCTTAAACAGGGGCTTGGTGGAGGAACTTCAGATTCCGGTAACAGCAACTAAAACATTCGGAGTGAGGGTTGGTGATGGCTATAATGTCATGTGTCAAGGAGAGTGTAAGGGGGTATGTCTAAGCTTGCAGGATGTTGACATTATACAGAATTTTTTCCCATTTGAGATAAGCAATGCTGATGTTATTTTGGGTATAGCTTGGCTGGAAACGTTGGGTGAAACAACCACATGTTGGAAGAAGCTGGTAATGAAGTTTCATTGTTCGGGCACCACGGTCACACTTAAGGGAGATCCAGCTTTGCGCTGAACTATGGTGTCACTTAAGGGGATGCTGAAAACGTTACAAACCGAAGGATCGGGATACTACATTGAGTTCGGGCATATGCAGATACAGTCAACACAAGAACCAGGCCATTACGGAGTTGATTAAGAGTTTATTACAACAGCATCAAGAATTGTTTGAACCTCCACCTTGGCTGCCACCGATCAGGATACATGACCATGCCATCAGACTGACAGAGGGGAGCCAACCTCCCAATATCAGACCCTACAGGTACCCTTACTATTTAAAGAATGAGATTGAGAGTATTGTTCGAGACATGCTGGTATCCGGAATTATAAAGCCAAGCAAAAGCCCGTTCTCGAGTCCTGTGTTACTGGTGAAGAATAAGGATGGTGGCTGGCGATTTTGTGTGGACTATAGAGCCTTGAACAGGATTACAGTGCCCGATAAATTCCCAATACCAACGATTGACGAATTACTCAATGAGTTGGGAGGAGCTTCAGTGTTCACTAAATTGGATCTTAAATCGGGTTACCACTACATTCGAGTCAAAGAAGAAGACAACTACAAGACCGCTTTTTGCACCCATGAGGGCCACTACGAGTTTCTAGTAATGCCCTTTGGATTATCCAATGCCTCTTCTACCTTTCAAGCTCTCATGAATGATATTTTCAAGCCGTATCTGCGGCGATTCCTGCTGTTTTTCTTCAACGACATCTTGATTTATAGTCCTAATATCACAACCCACGAAGGCCACTTGAGTCTCACTTTTCAAACCTTAAAGCAGCATCAATTGGTAGTGAACCGAAAGAAGTGCACATTCGCCCAATCACAATTGGAATATTTGGGCCACATAATTTCCTCAGATGGAGTGGCGGTTGTCCCAGAGAAGACTGAATGTATTTTGGCATGGCCGACACCTAAGGACATTAAGGCCTTAAAGGGATTTCTCGGATTGACTAGGTATTACCGGAAGTTTGTTAAAGGATACGGCACATTAGCCAAACCTCTCACCGCGCTACTTTGCAAAAATTCCTTCAGTTGGACCGACTCCTCACAGACTGCATTCAATGAATTATAAAGGGTAATGACTACGGTACCGTTTCTTGCTATGCCTGATTTTGCTAAAACTTTTGTTGTTGAAACAGATGCTTCAGGGTTAGGTTTGGGAGTAGTTCTGATGCAAGAAGGTCGACCACTAGCCTTCATCAGCCAAGACCTATCACTAAGGTCCCAAGCCAAGTCCGTTTATGAGCGGGAGCTAATGGCAATTGTTTTCGCAGTCCAAAAGTGGAAAAACTACCTTTTGGGTAGACATTTCATCATCCGAACAGACCAGTGCAGCCTCCGTTACTTAAATGACCAAAGACTACACGGGGAAGAACAACAAAAATGGATAATCAAACTATTGGGACTGGACTATGAGATACAATATAAACCGAGATCAGAAAATAGAGCCGCAGATGCCGTATCCAGGCGTACTGATGGGGTGGAATGTAATTCTCTCTCTACTTGTTACTTTGGCAGCCGTAAGGAATGGGAAGAGGCTATTCAGCAAGATCCTAAGCTGAACAAAATCTGCCGAGACCTGATTACGGATCACAAAAGCCATCCACATTTTCACTTGGTGGGCCACCAGCTTTTCTATGATAACCGATTAGTGTTACCTCGCACCAGCCCACAAGTTCAACTTCTCCTTCAGAAATTTCACTCGTCTCCCATGGGTGGCCACTCGATAACTTTTAGGACCTACAAACGGTTATCTCAGGTTGTCTATTGGGAAGGTATGAAGAGTGACATCGAGACCTTTGTTCGCAACTGTGTTACATGCCAACAGAATAAGTATGACAACCTCCAACCAGTCGGACTGCTGCAACCATTACTAATACCAACCCAAGTTTGGGAGGATCTTTCCATGGATTTCATCGTCGGCCTACCAAAAACTCAACGGGTCGATACAATACTAGTGGTGGTCGACCGGCTAACCAAGTTTAGCCACTTCATCCCTCTCCAACACCCTTACACAGCACAACAGGTGGCTGATCTTTTCATCCAAAACATTGTTAAACTGCATGGGTTTCCACAAACAATTGTGTCAGATTGGGACCGACTCTTCATGAGCATCTTTTGGGGCGAGATGTTTAGACAATCAGGTACAAAAATACACATGAGCACAGCATATCACCCTCAATCAAACGGCCAGTCAGAAGTGGTTAACCGTTGTGTTGAGACCTACCTCCGTTGCTTTGCAGGACAGCAACCAAAACAGTGGCCTAAGTGGTTAAATTGGGCAGAATACTGGTTTAATACTACTTTCAATCGGTCCTCAGGCAAGTCTCCTTTTCGAGCCTTATACGGCAGGGACCCACCAATCCTCCTTAGATATTACGAGCATGCATCAGTGGTGGCAGCAGTTGATGAGCAAATGATCGAAAGGAATCACATTTTAGACGAGTTAAAGCTCAATTTATCTCAAGCTCAAGGAGCCATGGAGGCCTATGCGGATGGTAAGAGAAGGGTTGTTCAATTTCAATCAAGTGACTTAGTTTACTTAAGACTCCAACCTTATCGTCTTAAATCACTGGCTCGAAAACCCAACGAAAAACTCAGCCCCCGATTTTATGGACCCTATGAAGTGATCGAAAAGGTTGGTCATGTGGCTTACCGTTTGCAACTTCCCACTACAGCCCGCATCCACAATGTGTTCCACGTTTCCCAACTAAAAAAGGTTACCTCTCAGCCAATCACCTCACTTCCACTTCCTTCCTTTCTTGATGGAGATATGGAACTCCAAGTGGAGCCCAAGCAAGTCTTACGGAGGCAAAGGTTGATAAATGGGGACTATGAGGTCCTAATCAAGTGGAAAGGCCTACCAACTTGTGATAATACCTTGGAGTCCTATAATGATGGACCCAAAATATCCAGCTGGTACTCACGCAGGACAGGCAAGGGAAAGCAAGGGCAAAAGGGGTAAATCACCCGAGGACAGGTGTCTTGTTAGTTGTTAGAATCCGGTGTCAAAATAAAAGGGTAGTGGTACCACAGAGAGGGGATATCTTTGTTTTTGTACATGAATTGAATCTGGGAGGTGCTGGCCCTCGAAGACCAGCTGGAGCTACTGTTTTATTGTTATTTCTTAAAACTCATTGTTCTTCTTATTTCTCATTTGATTAATATACCATTTCTCACTATTTTGATCTATTGTGTTGGGTTAATGCTTGAGTATTGTTGTTATTACGTTGTGGTGAANAACCAAACCACCCACAACCGACATTAAAAGGCAATCTAACACTCCCCAGCATATACAAATTTCCTTTCTGCAGCCTCTCACTATAACCTTATCAGTAATAAAATTAAATCAAACAGTCAGAATAAGAGGAAAAACAAATGCCCAATAAAGACTATAGAAATGAATATGTCCATCTATTGGAGCTGAGTTAATTTGAATCAAACCCAAATCCTCTCACAAATCAAAACACAGAGAAAGCAAGGTAAGAGAGAAGGAAAAGGAAACAAACCACTCTAAATTATCTAATCTTGCTTCACTAAATCCCACAAAAAAATGAAGGTTGTGTTTGTTTTATTTTTTTGAGTAGTATTTTTGAAAAAGTTGAGTTGGATTGTTATTACGAGGTAGGATTTGAAAATTAACAAAAACACCATCTAAGTTTGTTAATTTAGCTAAACACCTCCTACAATAAAAAGTTTATAATTTGACAAAAACACCCCCACCCACTCACATTTGCCAGATTCCGGCCACCACCGTCAGAAGGTGGCCAGAATCTGCAGTGATGGTGCAGTACCGGCTGGATTTGGCCGATAGTGCGCCGATCTAGCCTTTTCCGACCAAATCCAGCATGGATTTGGTCGGAGAAGGCCAGATCTACGGCCAAAGATTTGGCCGTTGAAGGTCAAATCTTTGGCCACATCTAGTCGTCAACAACAACCAAGAAATGATATTTACTCATTTCGAGTGAACACTAGAACCCTCCATGGCAGGGAGAGCAGACTGATGAGGCAGGATGTGAGACCGAGCTATGGCGTGTTCCAGTGTTCACTCGACATGAGTAAAAAGCCTTTTTTTGGCCATCGTTGACGACCAGATGTGGCTAAAGATCTGACCGTCAACGGCTAGATCGGCGCACTACAGGCCAGATCCAGCCGGTAGTGCACCATTACGGCAAATTCAAACCACCTTCCGGCGATGGAGGCTAGAATCTGGCAAATGTGGGTGGGGGTGTTTTTGTCAATTTATAAATTTTTTTGTTGGCAGTGTTTAGTTAAATTAAAAAACCTAGGGGGTTTAAAATAGTTGAATAGAACAGGATTAGATTTTGAGAATAGGGAAACAAATATGTATTTTGGGTAGGATACTAGGATAGGATAGGATAGGAATAGGGGGCCAAACGCAGCCGAAAACTATCTTAAAAAAACTTTCTCTGTTCCATACTTATATGTCCTTTTTCCACAATTTGATATAAGCTCCATACCCCTAACCATATCAAATTACATGATACGAGAACCAAGTTGACCAAGTGATCTTGTGTTAGAATCCTCCTATTGTATTACTTAAATTATAAGAAGTTTATATGTCGACATAATTATATTTGTGGCTGCGTTTGGTACACATGCACATAAAAAATACAACATTATTGTTGTATTTGTGGTTGTATATAGACCAAATATTTACAAAGAAGCCAAGAACTGAACTAAATCTCAAAAAATAAGGATAAATAAAATAAAATAACAAGAGGAGCAAGAATACTATGAATAAGAATCAGAGAAACAAAAACAATAATATAATCACAAACAAGAATAAGTTTCAACAACAACATGAACTTTAGCATAGGCTCATGATGCTCTTTGTAAAGCTTCAGCCCCTTTATGGATGGGTTATTTTTGTTGTAGTGTATTTCTGATCCACTTTTTAAGTTTTTTTCACATTAATATACATTTCTTCGTTTCCTATCAAAAAACAAAATAATTAAGAATAGCCTATAAAAATACTATTACACAAAATTGACAAAACAACTAAACTTGTTTAATAATCATTCTTTTATATTCTGATAAACCATTTTTAAACTATATTAAAAAAGAGATTGAGATGGTACATTGGTGGACAGGAAATCCACAAAGTGATCATAAAATCAGAAATGGGGAAAAATTCCGTATAAGAAATTGACTAAATATGTTAAATATAATCTTCCTTCCTTATCCCAAAATAAGCAAACTATACAAAGAAGTGTTTTTTACACCCCGTTGCAATACAACTAATCAATGACAGTATTCACATTAGTACAAGTAGAATACACTTGCTTTAACATTGAGTTTTACTTGTGCAATAGGATGCACAAAAGACTTAACTACACAAAGTTAGCCCTAAAACCCTTCCCCATTAATATAGGTACATCACTGTCTTTTTAATTTTATATTTTCCTTTGATTACAATCAACTATCTTATCAGCACCTATGTGAAACTTAAGTCAACAACACCCATTGAACGCTATCAACTGTAGGCGTCAACGCCATGGTGTCGTTGTCAACACCACAAGTTCACCAGTGATCCACCAGTATTAATCGTAGCTCTTCAAGAGATATGCAACTAAGATTGATATTATCAAAGAGAAAGCTTGACAGAGGTGGGAGCAGTAATGGTGACGTGGCTGGCGGCTATCGAAGAGTGGTTGGAGAATAAAAAAACAACGAAAGAAAAATAAGGCATAGGTGTAGCAGCAGGAGTTGATGATGTTATATTAAGGTGGCAAGAATGGCTTTTGTTGATGGATATCTTTAGTTAATGTAGAATCAATGATGATAAAGAAAGTCAGGGGTTTTGTGTGATTTTGTGCTAGTTGGGAAGAAAAAGAAGATAAGATTTGTTCAAGTGAGTTTTTTTTTTTTTTAATTATAAAGAGATGATAAATAATACTATTTTCTGATAAAATAATGGAATAATATAATTTACTAATATTTTATTTCACTTATATTTCTTCAACTAAAGAAATGGGGGGATTTTAGACATTGCATAACTTTTCTTGGATTACACAAAATATTCCTTTAAGCATAAAGAGAAATTAATTTTTGATGCATCAACTGCAAATGTTGGAAATTCAAGCAACAGAAAGATTTATTATAACAGATTTCCAAGGAAAGCCTTCAGCTGGGATTGCAACACCAAGCAAAACTATAATCATGGTGGCTAACAGTATACATCTAAAAGGTATTAATCTTGCTATACAGTAAGGTATGGGAGAAATTATCAAGTAGAATCTATAGTGCAAAAGTGATACTCCTAAAGGACCTACAATGGCAACTTGGACACTTTGGTGTCCCATACATATATAAAATCTCTCAGAAAATTTAACAATTTGAAATATTAATCATGCCTTTAGAGAGAGCAGAGTGTAGCAAAGGACTTCATCAACATGAGCTTTATTATAGCGGGCTATAAAATTAAATTTCACACTTTCTTAATAATTAAAATAATTATAATTGTTGATTATTAGGGTGTCATTTTTCCTAGGGTATTTCCGGACACCTTACTTTAACTTCTTCATATTACCAATTAGAATCAAATTAAAATGATTATCAAAGACAAATTCATTCTTTTAGAGCTCCAATGAATTTAATCAGACACAAATATCTACAAAATGCATGACAAGAAGAATCCAAGCAGCAGCATAATGTAACAGCATTATCTTACATAGAAGAAAACCAATGCACAAATGATTGGCAAATATAAAAAGACAGATTCTTAACTTAATCACTAGCAATAACCATATTGGTGAATACATCTGATCTAAAAACATACCTTTGCTCACTTGCCTCCACCATTCATCTATTTGCTTTCCTTTCTGCAGTTGCTCATTGTTCAAATATTCTCGGGTTGATGTGTTCAATGACCAAATACGTAGGTTTTGACAACTACTTATAAAATCAAGCAAGATACTTTGGGGGTTATTAGGATCAGAGCATCTATCTTCTCTATGAAATGACAGAATCTTTCTGGTTGTCTCCACCTACCAAAAGAATTGCCACATTAAAGTTGGATTATATCACATAATAAAACTTGCTCAAGCACCACAAGTTATCAATGAACATATGAAACAGATGACCTGAATGTAAACCATCTCTTAAAAATCAGTCCATCTAGAAAATCAAAATATTTCACAATATTCGATCCAATGAGAGGGAGGGAAAAGAAAGCCAAAGTTACACAGTAACAGAAAGGAAATGAATTTTAGGTTTCAGAAACTACCTTTCTAGCATCTTGATTCAAAGCATTCATCACAAGCTCCACCCTAATAATCTGTGCAAGCAGCCAAGTAACATGGTTTGTTCGAAGAATGTGGTTATCGCCTTCTGTAAGGCGTGAAACTAGCTTGTCAACAAAATCAACAAAATCAATGCACCCACTTTTCATGAGAAAAAAGAATATATCTGAGAAGACAAGCCATTCCTGCCAGCAATTTATTTCTGCAGTAAAATATGCTCAGTAAGAAATTTGCATACAAACATTTAACATAAAGATTTACCACTGGATCACTACACAACAGCCACAATGGATCAAACACAGAAATTAAATAACAATGCAAAGATAAGCAGATGTCATGGGGAAAAAATGGGCTACTACAACAGCCTTGACCACCTTTTTCAGTTACTATCTTGTAATTGATGCACTCACTAACATGAGCTCAAAAGAAACCAGTGAAATTTACATAATTACTTAATATGTATGGAATATCATAGGACTGAAATTTTCAAAATGATAAAAGACTAAGGGGTCTTGTAATGTTCCACAAATGTACTGTAAGTTTGTGGCAGATAGATAAGTAATAGAAAGCAATTCAGAAAACCATTCAACCATCCTTGTATAGATTTCATATTAACAGAATCAAAAGAATAACTGATAAATATGTGGAAGAGATCATTGCCTGAATTGGTTAACTTCAATAGTTCAGCAATCCTATCAATTACTGCCTCACAAATCATCTCAGAAGTAAAAACAGCACCAGGAGTAGGCCCTTGTGCAGGATTTCTATAGAAAGGAGCCACAAGAAGCACACGCTTCCACCAGTCAGGTGATGGAGTAGTGCGAATAGCATGCCTTATACAACGCATAGCTCTCTCCCAGTCCAAACTTCCCCTCTGAATAGAGTTCGCAAGTTCCTGTGCACAACAAAAGAAAATAATTTAACCACTCCCGGTGGATCTTAACTTATATACACATACAAATACATGATACACACACACTCTCAATCTTCGTTAGTGTCAGCCTCCAAAAGAACAAAACAAAACAATACTCAGACAATAAATAGTGAATGCATCCAAAGAAACGACAGGAATTTCAGAAAGATCTATACCATAATAATGTTTAAGATCACTAAATGCAAATACCAACTTGTAACGGGAAATAAATATGTATCTTTACTCAAATCGAGAATCATAAATTCACACTTCATTGAAGAACAGATCTACCAAGTTCTTAGTAGATTAAATCAGAAGCCACAAACCACAGAATACCTCATCTTTTTACGTCCATAGCATCAAAACATATAAGCATCACTTATACTCCATGCCTATAAAAATTAGAATCATATGAAATCATTACCAAAACAAAATAAATATTACAACTATATATCTTTTCAAATGGATATGAAGTTCAAGTTCAATGAAGCATAATCTTGACAAAGTCGCAAACATGTTAGTGAAAGGAAATTCATTATAAGAAAATCCTGATTGCTTTTCTTAAAGCCAATATTTGCAAAACTGACAAAAACCTCAGGACAAATACCATCCGAACATGAATTGCTAAATAGCTAAGCTAAAACAACATAAACACATTATGATATGGTCTCATATCCCATGAATGTTGCCATTTTAAAAATCTATACACTACTTAAATGACTTTGATAATATTTCTCTGGAATAAATCAATTTCAACTGCAAAATTTCTTAATAGAGACGGAGATAAAAGTCATCACCTCTCCATGTAATGGTTCTCCTAGAACACTTGGATATGTGATTGGTGAATAGCGCAAATTAGCCACCACTTCAACTGATATATTAGGAGTGGTCTGAGAGAGAATCCGATGAGTCCCAAATGTCGGGCAATGAAGGTGCTGATCTAACATCTGCATGTGTGTAGCCATCATATCTCGCCTCCTATGAATCTCTAAGATAAGTGTAAATAAGGCTTCATCATCAGGAATATTGTCTATAAACTGCAAGCCACTACGCAATAATTCATAAAAAGGCACTCGGCATCTATCCTCCTCAACCAATAGCCAAATTACATCCAAACAACTATGTAACCATTCAATGAGAGCCTTGTCTGGTCTCCAGGATTTTACATCAGATTCATCAATCCCCTGCTGTCTTTGATCCCAATTGACCAGCCAATTTAGCATATGATAAAAAATCTCTGCATGAGTAACTGGTTTCAAGTTGAACTCAAGACCAGCTAGAATAATCTTGCAACATAGCTGACGCAAACAGCTTATAGTATTATCCCTTATAGAAGGATTTGCCCTTGTTGTAAACTGCTGTCCACTGTAGGATGCATCAGAAGATTTTACTGGAGACATAGGTGCACAAGTTGATGGTTCTATTGCTGACTGGGCAGGGGACCCAATACCATGAACTGAAGGCAATGGAGATGCAGGATTAGAAGATTGATAATTAGAAGAATTGGGAATTGTGCTTAAAGTATGCAACATCCCAGACTGTGATAAACTTGTGGATGAAACTGCAGGCATTGCTTGACTGCCCTGACCCATTGACATTTCTGCTGATGACACAGAAGAAAGAAGGGATGGCAAAAAAGTATCCCAGTTAATGTAACCAATAGTACACAAGCTCCGTAAAGCAAAGAGAAGAAATTCTGCTCGTGGTACATGACTACAGCACTGCACAACTAGGGAAATGAGAACAGATTCTGTCACAGCACGCACTTGATCCTGGTCCTGTAAAATAATGGCAAGGCAACAACATGAAAGGCTCATTGTCACTACCACAACAGAGAAATGGGAGCCTTGATTATTCAAAAGAAGAAGAAGCAGAAGAAAACAGAGAGATATTTAGCACAAAAAAGAAAATTCAAATCTTGAACTCACGGGAAACTGGTTTTGTAGCTGCTCAAAATCTAAAAGGAACTGTTCATTTCGAGGAGGGAGCTCTCTGTTGAGAGCAAGCACACGCTTCTGTGTTTTGTTTCTGAAGACAAGTTATTTTGTAATTGATCAAAATACAATCATGGGAAGAAACCAAGACAATATCAATTTAAGAAAAAAATTAATGTCGGTTTTGGCTATGCCAGCCAATAAGCATGAATGGCAAGGAATACACCACTAGTTTCAATAACACCATAAGTTGGGGCAAGGGTAATGTTGCTATACCCTACATGTCACAATATCGTAAACTCATCCTGTTTCCCTTACACCAATCGTTATCTGTTCACTTCTAAGCACTCACATCACCTTCTTCCTAGTTTACTAATTTAGGACACCACTGCATCAAATTAGAACTCTATGAAATACTTAAGCGAAACAAGAATTTTGCTCATTATTAACTCAATTCTTACAAAATGAATTTTTCAAAATTTTGCTAACTAATTACAAAACTATACTTTAACACATATTATATGACAGATGCTAAGCTTCAATATATAAAAAAATGTGTTTATTCGTCTCCTTCTTGATAAACTAGATTGATAGAATGATTTTTTTGTGATAAAGCGAGCTTAAATGTCAACAATTCACACTTAATAAAGATAGAGCAATGCAATTAATCAAACACTAACTAATAAGCACACACCAAAAATTATAATAATAGCAAATAACAAATAAGATTACAGTAAATAACATAAACCCTAGAAACAAATACATAAACTCGAACAGAAACAAAACTTAAACTTAAAAAACGCAGCGTATTAAATAGAGAGAACGGAGGACGTACGGAGGTTCACGCAAGGAATCGTCGTGCTTCTGGCGGCTACTTCTCTGAAAAAGAAGAGAAAATTTAAAATTTTTTTTTAAAAAAGGAGAAATTATAAGAAAACGGAAATTGAAATAGAGTATAGTATGCATATACTCCTAAGTAGAGATTGAAGAGATCGAGAATAGCGGCTCGGGCCGGGTGGAACTGGTAGGCCCGAGGAGTAGCCGATGATGCTGCTAGTGATCTCTGGTTTTGATCCATTTTAACGTTTTCTTCTGTCAATTCATATCGGGCAGGTCGAGATTGTAACTCGTAGGTTCTTACATACTCTGTTTTACTAGTGCAGGAGAAAAAGATTCATAATAAGGTAGAGGTGTGGTACGGGTAGCGTAGCTATACCTGCTAGAATACTTATCCCGGTAACCTTACTTCTAGATTCTAGTTGGACTTAGCTTAACTAAGTCTAACGTTTAAAATTTAAATCCTGCAATAGGTAAAGGGGAATTTACATGTATGATATAAAATTCAAATATATTGTATTTTTATCAAACTTATATTATCGTGACACATTTTGCCAAGTAGCGTTTTCTCTTTGTTGTCTTGCCCATCAAATTTATTTTGATTCATGATATTTTTGTTTGACCTAACTTTACATGTGTCACAATTTCCTTATGTGATCCTAAAAAGTTGTAAGGCTTTGTCTGTGGTCCCCCAAGAAAGAGAAAAGATATGTTTGTGGTCTAACAAAAAGTTGGAATTCTTTTGTCCTCCACGTGTTCAACTGTCAGGCTTATGCCTTTTACATTTTCATTTCATGTGTGTTCACGATGGATGTGTGCTTACACACTTATGTCAAACATATGCATGTTGCATTTCACTTCGCATTTTACTTTGTGTGTGCGCACACATTTCTGCAATGCTAACATCACATGTCTGACTCCTTTTTTTACAAGTTGCGTTTTTTTGCTTAACAACTAAGACATATGTAAGTGGTCCAAATGACAGCACAAAAGATGCAAAGAAAATATTTCATGATATTCTTGTGTGATCTAACTTTACATGTGTCACAATTTCCTTATGTGTTCCTAAAAGGTTGTAAGGTTTTGTATGTGGTCCCCTAAGAAAGAGGAAAGATATGTTTGTGGTCCAACAAAAAGTTGGAATTCTTTTTGTCCTCCACGTGTTCAACTGTCAGGCTTATGCCTTTTATATTTTCATTTCATGTGTGTTCACGATGGATGTGTGCTTACACACTTATGTCAGACATATACATGCTGCATTTCACTTCGCATTTTACTTCGTGTGAGCGCACACATTTCTGCAATGCTAACATCACATGTCTAACTAATTTTTTACAAGTTGCGTTTTTTTGCTTAACAACTAAGATATTTTCTTTGCATCTTTTGTGCTGTCATTTGGACCACTTATAGGTGTCCCAATATCCTCTTGTGGTCCAGGGAAATAAGTTTTTTCCTTTTTTGGTTGTGGTCCCAAAAGATAGATGGAATCTTTTCCATTTTTGGACCAACATATGTCAGCCTTTGTTTGCTGACTTGGCAAGAATTTGGGAGCATGAAATTGGTCTATATCTTTTTAATTCTTACTCATTTGTGAACTAACCTTTGATTTTTTTTATTTGCTTGTGCTCTGAAATTTTCAGAGAGTTTTATTCCTCAAAGGTTCACCTTATGTTATTGTGTTAAACACTTATCATCCTTCATCTTTGTTAAGCTAAAAGGAAGTTCATCTTCTTCCTTGTTTGTTTTTCTTTTTGAACTTGAATATCTATTTTGTTGGTGCTATGAACTTTTTAGAGAGTTGTTCTTGATTAGGTTCTTTTATATGAGTTTGTATTAGAAACTTTCTTATTTATCTTCATTGTTGAATGGCGGCTAGAATGTGGTTTCTTTGCTGATGTTGGAGTGTGTTTTCAATGACTGAAGCTTGGGTGGAGCTCAAGCATTTTCCAGGAGTGAACCTGGTGTGAAGAGATATGTGGTGCAACAAGACATTAGAGATTCAAAGGATGGTGTTTAGTGTAACTAGAACAGGGAATTCTCTTTGTTGTAGCTAAAATCAACTTTGAACTATATCTTGTAATGTTTGTTGATTAGTGGATTTGCTTCGATCTAGACGAGGTCCCATGGATGTAGGCTAAAAGTGGATTTGGCCGAACCATGTATATGCTGGTGTGCTTTACATTTACAACTTAATTATTATTGATTTGTTGTAAACCTGATTCTGTTAACACAACTTGGTAAATCATTCCGCTATGTCTTTAAAAATGGGTACCTAAACGTTAAATATAGTTCACCAACTCTAACAATTGGTATCAGAGCAAGTTTTGATAAGTTGCTTCAATAGATCCTTACCCGTTTTACTTGTTTTTGTGTGCATTTGAGTGATCTGGTTGTTGGACAAAATCTTATTTGTGTTGAGTTTTTTGTTTTAGATCTGCTGCTTGTTTGTGTGTGCACTGTCATTTGCTGTGTTAGCATCTGTCTGATTGTTTTCCGTCATGAGTTTCTTCACTGAAAGTGGATCTGCTCATAGACCACCCATGTTAGAATGACCTAACTATTAGACATGGAGACCTAGAATGCGTGTTTTTCTTAAGTCTATAGATGAAATAGTCTGGTCCACAGTTGTGAATGGTTGGACAACCCCGGTTATTGTTAAAAATGAAGTGTTTAGACCAAAACCTGTTGCTAGTTGGACTGCTGATGAAATAACTTTGGCAAATTATAACTCTAAAGCCCTTCATGCTCTTTTTAATGCTGTTAATGTGAACCAAATGAAAGTCATAGCTAATTGTGAGTTGCCTAAAGATGCTTGGGATAGACTTCAAGTCAAGAATGAGGGAACTAGTACCATTAAAAGAAATAGGCTTAGAAGACTTGTCACTGATTTTGAAAATTTGAACATGGAAAAGGATGAAACTATAACTGATTTCTATGGTAGAGTTTGTAATATTTCTAATGAATGTTTTTGCTTTGGGAAGAACATATTCTAATGCTAAACTTGTTAGGAAAGTGCTTTGCTCTTTACCCCAGAGGTTCATGTCAAAGGTCACTACCATTGAAGAATGCCAAGATGTGGATGCAATGGACATTGATGAACTCATTGGCTCTCTCCAAACCTATGAGCTGAATCTGCAACGATGGGAAAAACAGAAACCGATCAAAGGTTTGACTCTCAAACATGAGGTTGATTCTGATCTTTTTGATGATTGTGATTTAAGTTCATTGGATGATGAAAATTGTGCTTTACTTGCAAAGTTTTTAAAGAAAAACATGAAAAAGCCTCATAATAGTGGTTATGGCCGAAAACGTTTTGTGAAAATGCCTTATGACCATCAAACCCCTGGTACCTTTACAAAGAAATTTTCAAAAGGTAAAGAAAAGAAAAATAAAGGTATCAAGTGTTTTGAATGTGAGGGTTTTTGGCACATACAATCTAAGTGTGCTAACATACTGAAAAAGAAGAAAGGTAAAGTCATGGCTGCCACCTTGAGTGAGAGTGAGCATGATGAGGTGATGATGATGATTTGGGTGATGATGAAAATGTTTTAGCCTTCAGGATGAATCAAGAGAATGGTAAGAGTGAAGTTTTGGATGACACTATTGATATCTATGCTAAACAACAAGAGGCATATGATAAAATGTACCAATGTCTAAAGGCTGTGAAAAAGTTACAATCTCTTGGTATTGAAAATGCTACCTTGTTGAAACAAAAGAAAGTCTTGTCCAAAAATATTGTTGTTCTTACTACTGAACTAACTGAGGCTAAGACTATTATTGATAAGTTGAATGCAGATTCTCTTAAGCTTGATGAAATCCTTGGTCAAGGAAAATCCTTCGGAGATTGGTATGATTTGGGATTCAGTCCTAGTGCTAGCACATCAAAAGTTGGTGAGAGCATGTTTGTGAAAGCCACCAAAACTCCTGTTGAAGGAACTGCTATGAGAAAGGTTATGAAGGTATCAAAATTCATTTATATTTGTCATTTTTGTAACATGAAAGGACACATCAGACCTAAATGCTTTAAGTTCATTGCTTAATTGAAGAAAGTTTTTAAAAACCATAGTTTTGTTGTTAATGTAAATCATAATGTTAACAATGGTTTTTCTTCCAAAAAAGTTTGGAAACCTAAGGCTGATGTGAATTGTTTTGTGTCTCATGCTTCTTTACTTGCATTTCAAAATGATCTTTGGTATCTAGACAGTGGTTGTTCAAGGCATATGACAGGTAGTAAATCTCTCTTGATTGAACTTGAATCAGTTGATAGTGGACATGTCACTTATAGAGATGGAAAGAAACGTAAAATTCTTGACAAATGGTCAATTGTGCTTCCTGATTTCCCTGTTTTGAAAGATGTCTTATTTGTTGATGTTTGAAAGCTAATTTGATTAGTATTAGTCAAATTTATGACAAAGATTTTGCAGTTCAATTCTCAAAGAACAAGTGTCAAATCTTGAATGGTAAAGGTGTTTCTTTACTTGATGGAAAGAGGTCAAATGACAATTGTTACTTGCTTTCTAACCGTGTGTCATGTTTTAGTTCAAAAACATATTCCACTAACTTATGGCATGAGAAACTTGGTCACATGAACTTCAAGGACTTGATGAGACTTTCAAAGAAGGATGTGGTTAAAGGACTACCAAAACTTGAACTTCCAAAAAGTAATGCGTGTGATCCATGTCAACATGGTAAGCAAACCAGAATATCTCATAAAGCTTTGTCAAATTTCAATACCTCATGTATTTTGGAATTACTCCATATAGATCTAATGGGTTCTATGCAAATTGAGAGTTTGGGAGGAAAGAGGTATCTGTTTGTTTATGTTGATGATTTTTCAAGGTATGCTTGGGTTGATTTTTTACGTGAGAAATCTGATTCATTTAATGCATTTCAGAAATTGGCCAAAAGGTTGCTTGTTGAGAAGAGTTCTAAAACTACAAAAATAGTGAGAATGAGGAGTGACCATAGAAAGGAATTTGATAATTCTGATTTTGCTAATTTTTGTGAATTGCAGGGCATATTCCATGAATTTTCAGCACCAAAAACACCTCAACAAAATGGTGTTGTGGAACAAAAAAATAAAGTGCTTCAAGAGATGGCTAGGGTGATGCTTAATGCCAAAAAGCTTCCTAGAAGACTTTGGGCACAAGCCATTAACACGGCATGTCATATTTCCAACAAAGTTTACCTTAGAAAAGGCACTATTCAAACTCCCTATGAGCTGTGGAAAGGTAAGAAACCTAATCTCTCTTACTTTCATGTCTTTGGATGCAAATGCTACATCTTGAATGATAGAGGGAATTTAGGTAAGTTTGATTCTATGAGTGATGAAGGAATT